TAAAACCTTCCATACGTATGTCTCTGTTTCATTTCTCTGTGTGTATAAAACACTTCACCCAAGGACCATAGAAGGTCCCAGATAGAATGAGAAAAAAATGTAGAATAAATTTCAAATTCCTAAAAAAACTCCAGACATACTGGACCGCTAGAGGCTACAGGAACCCTTGAGACTATCACCCTAAGATACCGTTTGAACTGGGAACTGAAGCTATTTCTGGAGGTCACATTTCAGCCAAATAATAGATTAGCTCATAACACCCGTGAGTAATGTGCTCTATTAAACAATCAACTATATGAGACTAAACAGTCAACCTTTATCCAAAAGAAAAGATGAGAAGGCAAGGAGGGGACGGGAAGCTAGATTAATGAAAGTACAGCAAACAGAATGGAAACAATAAGAATGCCGACACATTGTGAGAATTGTAACCAATGTCACAGAAGCATTTGTATAAAAGTTGTTAAATGGGAACCTAATTTGCTGTGTAAAGTTTCACTTAAAACGCAATAAAATATTTAAAAAAAAAAACTTCACAAGCTGTTAAAAATATTGTTGTGCAGTAAGATTATTAATTTATCACAAAGAAAATAGGAAATATTTCCAACTATATACAAAAATCATCTAGGAATTTCTGCCAGATATGGTATAGTTTGTGTTTAATTGAAGAATTGTTGAAGCCCACTCTCAAATTCCCTTCATGAGAAAGAATTCCAAGGTGTGCAAATTTAAATAATTATTAAAAACATATTCACTCTCTCACCTGCCCACTTCTATGGGAGAAGTACCCTTCCCTTTTCCAATGATGCTGGCCTTGACCGTGTTACTTGATTTGGCAAATGAGATAGTAAAAGCTTAAAAGTGCACTTTCACAGTTGCACTTACACTCTTGCACCTCTGACGTTACCATGAGCCTACCTGTACCTATTGCCGTCGAGTCAATTCCGACTCATAGTAACCCTATAGGACCCATAGGGTTTCCAAGGAGCGCCTGGTGGATTCAAACTGCCAACCATTTGGTTAGCAGCTATCGCTGTTAACCACTACACCACCAGGGTTTCCAGTACCATGATCCTAGGTTCCCAAAAGAATACATGTTGAGCAAAACCACTCCAGCTTCCATAGCCTGAAGCAGAGCTGTTCCAGAAAACTTGCAGAACTGTGAGTAAAAGAAACTTAGTACACAACTGAGATTTTGTTGTTTTATACTGTATGGCAATAGTTAATTTGCAGAAAAATTGGTACTGGGAATGCAGTAATGTCGTAACAACAAAAAATGTGACATTGGCTTTGGGACCAGGTGTTGGACAGAGAAAACTGTTATAGGATCATGGGGAAAAAATGGCAAGTCATTTTATATAGTGGCGAAACATTTAGTAAAGCAGTTGCCTGTGATAATAAAGAATAAACTTATAGATTGAGAAAAGAGATCCCTAGGAAGAATGTTGAAAGAATCCTCTAGTTGCTTTTAGCAGCGTTTGATAAGGTACTACAAGAGAAAGATGAGCTCAGAAAAGACATCTGTAAGCAAAATATAGAAGGAATAAAGAAGGGGCACAAACCAAATCAAAGGCATAGCTGGAATGTCATTTTTTAAGGACTTCTGAAAGAATTAAGGTCGATACCTAGTAAGTTATCTCAGCTAATCAAAAGGATTTCTCCAAAGCTTTTAAAAACCTAGTGTGCCCAAGTACATGTTTCCAAAAGGGTGGAGGGGGAGGGAGGATGTAGCTTTTGATGCATAGAGTTGTCTGGAATCAAGTACATAAGAATATACCCTCACACTATCTGGGGAAAGCTGCATTGGCAAAAGCGCCACCTTCTTCAGCTAAGAAAAGACTGATATCATTTGAGATTTAAAAAGCCTCTTGGGCACTTAACTTTTTACAGGTATTTTATTGATCAGGGTAGTTTCCAGATCAGAAGGCTTGCCCTCTCAAGGTTTGAAGATGAGGGAAAACCACAAGACTTCCCACACGTGCAAGTGATGCATAGCGGTTTACTGGCACTTATGTAGGGTAAAGCAGCCGGGGTGTTGGACCATACAGGGCCAGGGCACAAGCAGCCAGGGCAGCCAGGCAGCTTTCTGAACTTCGTGGAGGCTCCTCCGAAGAGAAGCTCTCAGGCGGGCTTGAAGCCCATCCCCTCTTATACCAAAGTTCTGTCCTAGTCGTCACCAGATGCATCTCTCGTGTCCTCAGTGAAGCAGCATGTTCCATTGGGTATTTACGTTTCCTTTAACCACCACACTTGCCAAGACAAGTGCTTTCATCAGAAATTGCCAGGGAGAATTATGAACATGGAAGAACAATAGACTTGGAAGCCTCTCCTAAGCAGCAGATCAGGGCCCAATCAAGGAGCGTTCCCTTCCTCCAAGAGAGGAACTTGGAAACATTTTCCCAGAGGGCAGAGTAGTTCCCATGCTACCTCTTTTGTTTTAACCAATACGATGTTAGCACACGTGACATAAGTGGAGGCTTGAAAGGTTCTTGCATGGTTGAACTTGCATTTGCTACCACCATGAGCAGAGTTCTGAGTAACTGCTAACCCTTCAACTTGGATCTCGTGTAAACCACGTGGAGAAATGCACACAGCCAACTCTCAGAACTGAAACAAAGCAGAGCTTCCCCAGTTGACCCATAGACT